TTCTACAACCAGGTCACAAAACCCTTGGATGCGGGTGTCATGGTGGATATAGTCTTACTGGTCTTTAGGAAGGCCTTCAACACTGTCTCTCACCACATTCTCATCAAAAAATTAGGCGACTATGGCATCAATGCCTACACAGTCAGATGGGTCACAAATTGGCTGGAGGGTCACACCCAGAGAGTGGTGGTGGACAGGTCATTTTTGACCTGGAGGGATGTGGGCAGTGGGGTTCCTCAGGGCTCTGTCTTTGGGCCTGCCCTGTTCAACATCTTCCTCAGTGACTTGGACGAGGGAGTGAAAAGTACCTTGTTCAAGTTTCCAGATAAAACTAAGATGTGGGGAGAAGTGGGCACGTTAGAAGGGAGGGACAGGCTACAACTAGATCTGGACAGGTTATAAGGGTGGGCGGATGAGAATAGAGTGGGTTTCAATACTGACAAGTGCAAGGTACTGCACCTGGGGAGGAAGAACCAGCAGCATACCTACAGGCTGGGGAACTCCCTTGTCATCAGCACAGAGGCAGAAAAGGATCTTGGAGTCATTATTGATTCCAAGAAGAACATGGGCCGCCAATATGAGAACGTGGTCAGTAAAGTCAACCGCACCTTGTCATGCATCCACAGATGCATCATGAGCAGGTCCAAGGAGGTGATCCTTCCCCTCTATGCAACATTGGTCAGGCCACAGTTGGAGTACTGCATCCAGTTCTAGACACCGCATTTCAGGAGGGATGTGGACAGCATTGAGAGGGTCCAAAGGAGGGCCAATCATGTGATTGGGGGGGAACAGGGCAGGCCCTATGAGGGGAGGCTACAGGACCTGAACCTGTTCAGCTTCCACAAGAGAAGGCTGAGAGGGGATCTGGTGGCCATCTATAAACTTACCAAGGGGGACCAGCAGGGAATAGGAGAGACCCTGTTCCCCCGAGCACTATCAGGAATAACTAGGAATAACGGCCATAAGTTGACTGCGAGTAGGCTCAGGCTGGACATCAGGAAGCACTACTTCACAGTCAGGGTGGCTAGGATCTGGAACCAATTTCCAAGGGAAGTGATGCTTGCTCCTACCCTGGGGGTCTTCAAAAGGAGGCTAGATAATCATCTCGCTGGGGTCATTTGACCCCAGCATTCTTTCCTGCCCATGGCAGGGGGTCGGACTTGATGATCTGCTCAGGTCCCTTCTGACCCTACAACTATGAAACTATGACTTGCCCCATGCCTCTCCTCCCTAGCCAGACCTCTGGGGCAGATGGCAGGCACTACAAGGTCTGCCCAGATTCCTCCTGCCCCACCACCCCCACCACTCACTGCTCAAGCAGAGATCCCCTCCTCCCTCCATCCCATCCCCCACAGCATGGACCCCAGCTCCACAGATCCTAGGCATGTGGTATCCTAGTTAATGCTGAGAGGGTGGGGGTGTGTGTGTGTGTGTGTGTGTGTGTGTGTGTGTGTGTGTCCAGTTTCACTGGGACAGCAAGACAGAACAGTGTCCGCTTAGGGCTTTTTGGAGCTAATCAACAGGTCAGCTGGTAATGTCCCTCCATTCCTTCCCTGGAAACAGCTGTTTAAAAAGAGCATGAACTAATGAAAGATGCTTTTGTTTTGTTGATGGGCTGATAAACTCTGTGTTATCAGCCTTTGTTAGTTTGCAGCCCTGTCAGGTTTGCAGACAGTATGAAGAAGCAGGGAGAAGGAGATTGAAAAGCTCAGCATCATCAACAGATGCATGCACTACACACACCCCTTTTGCCTCAGAGTGGTAGCCAGGGGCTGGGGGCTGGCAACAATCCTGCCCCTTGAGCAGTGAGTCTGGAAAAGTCTGGGACTCTCCTGCCACTTGAGCAGCAAGCGGGAAAAAGCCTGGGATGGTGCAGATCTGGGGTGGGGTTTACACCCCTCTCTAATCAGAGCATCCTGCTGGGGCCTGGCCATACACCCCCTACCCCACCCCGCAGCTCAGCACTATGAAAGGGAAGGGAGGGTTCTCTCTAGCACCCCCCAGCTTGTAGCCTCAGGCACTGCAAGTACGTGCCTGCATTTCTTCAGTCCAGAGAGGATGTCTATATGATTGCAAACCAGTTCAACCTAGGCAGGTTAGACTAACCTGCAAAGATTGAATCAATTCAGGCTCGGGCTTTTTGAATGTCTGTCCCTAGATTTAGAGTTCATCTAGTTCAACCTCCCTGCTTGAGGCAAGATCATCTCTATCTAAAGCAGTCTACACAAATCCATTGTCTAGCCTATTAGCAAAACCACACAGTCAACCCTGACACAGCCACATGACATAACACCCTAAACTGCCACAAGTAAATCAGGGCTACCACAGTAGCCAATGTCCTGCTGCTGCAAGGGTTGTTAAAATGTTCTCCAGAGATCCAAGGAAGATTGCTACATTCCCTGCTACAGACAAAGACAAACCCCCTGACAATTGGTACCAACTTGACCATGAGGTAAAATTCCTGTATGATCCCATATATGGCAATTGGTTTGACCCTGAGCAGAGGGGCAAGACCTTCTAATTAGGAACTTCTGAGTTTAAGTCCCAGAAGAAGCACTAGTATACCCCAGTCAAAGTCCCTAGCTTTCACTTCAGCCAACACCCAATGCTTATGAGAAAGACAAACCCCACTCCCTCCCTCCCCCGCCCAATCCCCTGCCCTGATACATGTAGCAGCAGGAGGGGGAAATTCTCATTCCTGTCCCCTTGTGAAAACCAAGCAAAGCCAAGAAGCATAGGAAACATACACAGTAGAACAAAGGCACAGCTACTTCTACATAATCCCTGAAGAATGCTTGTCCAACTTCTTCTCGAACACCTCCAGTGATAGAGATTCCACTACATCCATAGGCCGTGTATTCTACTGCCTTACTGTTCTAACAATGAAGAAGCTTTCTGGATTTTTAATCTAAATCTATTTTGCTCAAACTTCAAGCCACTAGTCCACAACCTGCTCTCTCTCTCCTTCTTTATGGCAGTCCTTCAAATATGTAGACCACTATCATATCTACTCTTAAGCAGCTCCTTCCCATAATTATTCCACACATGTCCTTAGCTAACTTTTGGACATCACTGTCTTCCTTTATGAGATATGCACATGTACAAAATGTTGGAGTATTTCAGGTTTGGGACTTCCAAAAATACATGTGTGGACTAATATGTTCAAATTCTGCACTTAGACTCATTATTCCTCCCAACGTTGCCATGAAGCAGTAAGGTGCCTTTGACTAAAACCATTCTTCCCATAGAGATCTTCATAGTTCATATTTTGAAAAAAGACTGGAAGATAACCTGAATGTCCTGGTGAATATTTTCTACTTTAAAAATAACAGCTTTGTCTAGTTATGTTATTAGGCCTCAAGTGGGAAAGGACCTAGCTATCAAACATAAATGTCAATCTCAACTTAATAAATAGTTGTTCATTATTTTATTAATAACACAGAGCAATTTATAAATCTTATGGATACATTGGAAAATGGACAACAAGAGTCAAAACTATAAATATATCACAGGCATAAAAGAACATACTTCATGAAAGTATATGCAGTGGTACTAGTAGGTCGTTTCAGAACTATGCTAGGAAAGTTTTGTGGAAAATCATTTCAGTTTACTTGGGCCTATGGCAGAAATCAGGCAGGTAAAAACCAGCAGAGATGAAGCAATGACTAGAATTTTTACTAGTAGCAGAGAGACACCTTGATGATTGTAGAAAGATTGTGAGTACCTTTCCACATGTTTCCAGTGTTTGTTACCAACTGCAAATAGTCAAATAACAACATTAGTATGAATAGAATACTTCATCACTAGGCATCACTGATCCAGAGGATACTTATCAGTTCTAACTATGGATTTTATTGCAAGGACCTCTTTTGGGAACTCAGTCTAGAAGATGGGAAAGAACACCTTCCATGCTTGTTTTTGTATTTCAAGTTACTTAAGCACCTTGATTTATGTTATTAGTACTGCTTGGCTTTTCTCCTAGAAAATCATAACCAAAAGAGGTGGAAGACAGCTTTGCGCAAGCATTTTATTTATTCATAGTGTGTACAGCACATATAGTGCATATTGTGCTTTTGTACTCTAAGTAATGGCTGTTCTCTGCTGAGGTAAATTGTGTCAACAAGGAGTCTTGTGCACTACTAGCCTTTTGTTAAATGACTGAACATTGTGTAAAGACATATTGTAACTTCTAGACTACTGCTATGTTAGTCTTTCTCCTTTTGTTATGGCCATAGACCTTTTTTTTTCCCTTTACAATAGACTGGTTTCCCTGCTGAGTGATCTTAATGCTCACAGAACACATCTGTTGCTCATGTTGTTCAGACACAAAAGCAATTTATATTTTGCCAGTCACATAAACTTCTCTTACTGATTGTGCCATTTTATTGAACAGGGGGACCTAAAGAACATTAATACTGTGACCCCAGGTAACCTTTGCAATTATCTGAATGCAGTATCCCATTAGTTCTTTTAAAGTCTGTTTCCTCCCTCTTGAGCCCCACCTTTTTTTTTTTTTTTTAATAACTATAATGATGCTTGAGGGTTCTTGCTTGTAGTTATGTTGGTCCAAGGACACAGGCAGACAAGATTCTTTGGGTAAATGTGATATCTTTTATTAGACCAACTAAATACTTGGAAAAATTGTACTTTGCAAACTTTCAGGCACAAACACCCTTCTTCTTGGACCCAATTCTGAAAGAGATCTTTCCAGAACCACCCACCCTACCCTTTAAACAAGCACTAAACCTTGCTAACCTCATCACCAGAAGCAAACTTCCTATGGCCCAAATCACACTGAACGGATCCAGATCATGCCAGGATAAGAAATGTAAAACCTACCAACGCAACTCCACCACTCCCACAATAACTACACCCCCACAACAGAACCATCACCATTCCTAGATCTTACACCTGCACCTCCAGAAATGTTACACATCTCATCCAGTGCACTAAATGTCCTGATAAAAAAAGATAAAATATACAAATATATATTTGCATACCTTCAACCCAGTAGGAAGTGTGCTCTATTCACTTTTCCAACTTTGCATGACTTCTTTTCCACAGCCTCAACATTGTCTCAACAACAGTATACAGATGCCCTGGATTCATCTGCTGTTACAACATCTGGATCAAGAGCTGAAGGCCAAACAGGAAGAGACATTTTAGATAAATGCAGTAACATTTACAAGTCTGGCTACCTCCAGGTTGTAGCTCTTAGCTATTGAGAATGCTAAAATACACCAATAACCGTGAAACCCACCAGCAGCTTCTACTTTAAATATTTGAATATTCAAGTTTGCAGGCCCTTGCTGACCCGAGCTCACCCTTAGTGCAGCTTGAAGGGAACTGTTCCACAACAAGAGGCCCAAAGTAATCTTTGGGCACAACTTCAACAAGTATGGAATTAAAAAAAATAAATGACTGAAGGCCAAATAAAGATGAGCCTAGGAAAAGAGTCTAGAGAAGCTGTCTAGCCCAAATGAACAGAAAAGGAAGGTGACACAGCTGATAGCTAAAAAGATTTGAAAAATACCTTTGAATTTTTAAGCATTCCATGCAAGCAGCTCCTAACCCTGGAGAGTATTCAAAATTGAAATCATCTGGGAGTGAAACCTTCGTCCCACTAAAAAGAATGGGATGTCTGCCACTGAATTCAATATGGAGTGCAGAAAGAAGGGACAGTATTTTATCACAGGTTTTTAACCAGGAGCTTGAAAGAGAAGATGTGAGAGGCAAGGAGGAATACAGCAGTTTATTTATCATTCAAACTGCCACACTTTCAGGACTCTGCACATTTCTCTCTCAGCTTTTGGTTTCAAGCAAGTAAAGCACCATCTTCAACCCAAATAACACCAATATTAAGCACAAATTCAAGCACTTTGCTGAAAAGAGATGGGCTTGTAAGGACTGTATTTCTCTCTCCTCCTCTCCCTGCTTGCTCTGTCTAAGCCTTTCTGTTCACCCCTCCCTTTTTTTACTGTTGTGCCTTCCTCCATGTTGCTTATTATGCCCAGCTGTACAAAACACCTCTCCTGCTCTACTTAGTGAGGTGACCAGCAGCAAACCAGATAAAAAGAACCTTTTTTCCTTACAAGGTCATGTGGCAGAAAAATACCAGAGTGAGGGCTTATACTACAGGGCTCTTGATCCCCACTGTAGTGAGTTTCTGCTGTCTTCTCACAGCTACTATGTGGTATTTGGAAATTTACAGGTATTCGTGTCAGGTGTGGTTCATTTGGCAGCACTATATCCTCAAGTCTGCTTTGAAAAGTATCAACAGAAAGATTTTAGTGTATCGGTTACATTCCTTTTTTTTTCCCCTAAAGAAGAGCCTCAGGCCAAGACTGAGGTTTAATTTGCAAATCTGCATCTGAAGCACATAAAGTAACTCCTTGAGCAATACCTGGCTCTAGCTCATTGTCATGAGAATTAATTCAACCACAGAAAAAATTAAGCAACAGAGCAAAATGAAATTGGTGGGATTTCTGTTACTGATTGTCATGTATCTATCAACAAATATTTCCAGTCTCTGGATTAGAGTGGATGTAAATGTATTTCCATGCATAGCTAGACTTCAGCTAAGAGCAAGATGATCCATTGTTTTGGCCTCTTATTCCACCAAGAAAAAAAGCCACAAGGATCTTAGCTGAGACACATTTTTTGTCATTAAAATTTTATTATGATGTGTATTTAAAGTAAACATGTCCAGACAAAATTACCTCTTAGATATGCAGAGGGTAACACTGGCAAGAAGCTGTAACAGTGCTTAATCTATTCACAGTAGAACAATGAACAAGCTCCTTTCAGTTATGTTAATATGTTGGGTTCTCAGAGGGAAACATAAGAGCCATGATAAAACATAAATTATGTTTATAAATTGCATAATGTATAAACTGAAGTTGCCTGTAATATTGATGAATAGAAAGAAACCCATCCAAGATAAAGATAGATAAGATTTATAAGAGGTCAGAGTTTTGAGAGAGAACTTTATATATAAGCAAATAAAATTACTCTCTCTATTTTGCTAGGTACTCAGATATAGTGATGAGTGGCTATTTAAGCAGGACATATCTAGGCTGAACTGTCCATTGGTTCTTTTCCTCCAGCTTCCCGTATTTAGAAGCATAGGAAGTCTTAATTTTGTGGCTGTCCCCTTAGCCATCATGCTTACCACCCACTGATGGATCTGTCCTCCACAAATTTATCCAGCCTCCTTTTGCATCTTGTTAAATTATTGGGCTCAACAACACCCAGCTCATATGGATGTTCAGTAGTACAACCAAGAACAGAGCACAGATCTCTTGACAAGAAATCCCACTTGCTGAGCTATGTGGCTAGCAGTTTACCACACAAATCCAGAAGAACTAATAGGTTTTCAGGTGGACAAACAGGAGTCTAGTTAGGTAACCATTAATCCATGATGTGACTGAATATGATTTGTGTTTGCCCCCTTAGCCTATCTGTATTACTTTTTTAATTTGTGGCTGGAGATCTGAACAGATCTGTGCAAACTGCCTCTATTCTACATAGCAACATAGATCAAATGAGGCACAGAGCGATTTACGGGACTTTTGTACACTTGACCAAAAACATTATCTTCATGTTTTATGCTCTTACACCACTTCCTGGTGCTGGCTAAGGGCTGAGCTGGATTCCAAATGTATTTGTGGGTCCAAAGATGAAGCAGTCTATTTCTTATTACATGTAGTGACAGGGGCTGGCCCAGGGCCGGGTCTCAACATCGGCCCACCCATCTGTCTAGGACCTGCCCAGTCTCACCTGCCATGACTTGATGAACAATTTAATTTAATAAGCAGGAGGCTGCCCATAACTGCCCTGATGCCAGAGGGTGCTATCTACTCAAAGCCCTTAAAGTGGCAAACACTTTAAGTACTTGTAGACCAAGGTGCTCTAAGACACAAGTATAGTCAATTGAATGTGGCAATGCTAATAGTAAATTATGCTTACCAATGTGGTTATGTTTTCAGATTGACTGGATATTTAAATACTCTCCAGTGCCTCAGCATGCTAGACTAGTGGAGAAAATTTGAGTCATATAATTTGAAGCACAGACCATACTGGAGAGAGCTGTATGAGTTATTGTTTGCCTCAGCTCTCTAATAAAATGTGGTGATGTATGCATATGCACGTTTTTAAGAGCATCTTTTAACAGTCTCTCCCCCACTCCCCTCCCCGCTCTCTCCCTGGGAAAAGAAACAAATCTAAATACGTTACAGATCACCATTAAAAAGCCATTCCAAAAACCAAAACCTATAGTTGCTGTGTGGCTGTTCCCAGTGTTCATTATAACATCAGCTCATCCTTAGCTTCAATTTTAAATTGTGTCTGTAAAATTTTCTGAAACCAGAAGTGAAATCCTGACTGCTCTGAAGTCAGTGGCAAACCACCTTGGGGTCAGGTTTTCACTGAGGTGATCAGGTTTCTACATGTTTCCAAATACAAAAAGAATTCTGCTTTTCAACAGAAACAATTGCTTAATTCCTTTCTATAGTAATCATCTCAGAATTGAGCATAATTGCTTCCCCAGGATCATTAGCTGGCAAAAACATAATTGGCGGCAAATCTGGATTTCACTATTTCACTCAGACTACCAGACAATTAATTTGTAAACCATTTAGCTGCCCAACTTTTTCTGAAGGGGAGGCTTTATATCAAGCAGCTGATGGAGAGTGGGGGACAGCAGGCTGTGCTTATTATTTAGAAGAGTTATTTCAGAATGATGACCTTAGTAGACAGTTCCCCTGTGTTTGTTGAACTGTTTGGAAACAGACTGGAGAGGGAATAATAGGTCATTAGTAATGATGCGGATATGAAATGGAGTCTTGTTGCAAGCTAATGTTTTCATCATCTCTCATCTGTTCCATGGCTTAGCTGAAGTGAGCTAGCCCTTTCTGTCCACTGTTAAAGAGGCAAGTGTCAAGTCTAGATCACAGAGCCACAGCTGGAAAAAACATCTATAATTCCTGTCCGTGAAGAGACCTGGAGTTTCAACTATTGTAGAAATGGTTTCTGCACATGGTAGGTATAGTGGTAGGTAAGAAAGCTGCTCTGCCAGTTTCTCCAAGTACTGTTGAAGTGATGTTGTAGCATTATGGTCCAGGAATTGAGTTGGGCAAGGATCTTTGTGAATGATTATCTTATTTGACCAAAACCATAGTCAAAATAAAGGGATGTATTTAGTAGCCATGTTGGTCTGAGACAAAAAGAAATGCAGAACTCTTGGTTCAGAGATGATACTTGTTATTAGTTGGAATGAAGACAGACAAACTTTTAAACGCAAGGCATTTGTCATCAGGTCTGCTGATGCCTTTCATTTGAGATGCCTCACATGCCATGTACGTCTTGTATGCCATGCTGCCTCTTAAACTGCAGGGCTGTGCCTGCAAGGGACTGTGGGTTCTGATTAGTAGCAGAGCTAATTAGTCTGCCCCAAAGTGCCTCATCATATAGGTAGACTGTTTCTGGTTTAAGGAGACAACACAGAATGTTTGAGCACGTTTATCGTGCAGACACGGCCTTAGAGAACAGAGGCATCTACGATTTTAGGAGCCTAAAATTCTGTGCCACCACGCCTTGGCACCTATCACTCACCTATGTCATCCTGAACTTCACAGATTAGGCATCCCTGGGCCTACATTTGCTAAAAGGCCTGATCCAATAGGTGTGCTCAGAGCATGCCTAATTCACACAAACAACACCGAGTTCAGCACAAAACATGCTAGCCACCTGAGCTGAAAACTGTGACCATAGAATGAGCCATGGATAGTCATCTCTTACATCATAGCCTAATGGTTAAAATGCTTACTAGGAAGTTGAAGATGTGGGTTCAGTGCCTTCTTCAGCCTGACTGGTTTCAAAACTATATCTCTTACCTCGCAGAAGAGTGCATCCACCCCTCTTTTGAAACACTGACATTGGACAGAAAGGAACACAAGATTCACAGACAGAGTACCTAAGAGACTGTATCTTAATACTCAACCTCACCTCACCCAAGTCCCTTTGTGGATTTAGCCCTATGTTCCTTGGAACAGGACCCTGTTGTATTTATAAAGCGTCTCGATGAACAGAATATACCTGGATGTTGTGATTGGAGGGACAGTCACAAACGTATTCCA